TTTTCTTAAATAAGTGAATATTGGTTAAAGAGGACTCCATTATTTACGTATATGTAATCTATGTATATGCATATACAACTGTACACAGAAAAGACACAATATGTCAGTTTGGTGGAGAATAAAGCTTGTTTTTATAGGTAATTAGGGGCCTGCTATTCCCTATAGTCACTGGCAAAATCCCCATTGACTTCAGTGGGAGCAGGATTCAGACCCTTAATTTACTGAACAGGATTGGGGAGGGAATTCTTTATGGCCAACCCATTTTCCCCTTATTTCCCCCTCCCCCCAAAATCTCCATATTAGGACAATAAGCACACTAAAAATCAAAATCAATCAATCCTTTTCTGGCAGAGGAAGTGTTTCACCCTCCTGACAGTCAGTCAGTTCAAGTCCTAGGTTGTCTGGAGAGTTTCTCAAGAGGAACCAGAAGCACTCTCCTTTTCCCCCATGCTGAGCATACTCATTCCCCTCGGGTTCTGCTAGCTCAGGACATGGAAGCACAAGTGAAGGATTCAGTCTTGGATCCCCCAGGTGACAGAGCAATGCTTCTGAGAACTTTTTAACTGTTATCCTCAGATGAATTAAGTGGAACAGCCTCTCGAACTGACAAGCATAAGCAAATCTCCTAGTGAATGACCTGGCAAAGTGTGTATATATGTGTGTACATGTCCGTGTCCATATCCGTCCCTTCTTTCCTCGTTAATTGTATTTCAGGAATGGGATAGCATCTTGTGCTGTTGTGATTTTATTTTCTAATCTTTTCACAGATGCCTGTCGTTGTCAGGGGCTGGTAACTCAGGAAGAAGAGCTCATTCCAGTGACCAGATCCACAAGTTAGTTCTCACAAGCAATAGAAATTCAGGACAACAAAAGGTATCTGTGAAAGGTTCTTTTAGACTAAAATTTGGTGAAGATTAAAAGAGGGCAAAAGTTCAAATGAGAACGAGCCGCTGCCAAGTAAGCAGGAATCTTGGCAAAAGGGAAGGAAAAAGCACCATCGGTTTAAAAGGCAAGTAACCATGGCAAGCCAATAGCTCCATGCTAGAATCTGGTTAAGAAGTAATATCACACAGAGCTGCGATTGTTTATTCAAGACTAGCCCATGAGAGAACAGTTGTCTCCAATGAGTAGTCTCACAGCTTGGATCCAAAATTGTAAGTGCATTTTTTTAAGCATCCAGCTCTTCTTCGCAACCCATTTGGTGTTAGACAAAAGGAAAAGAAAGTACAAAGTTTATTTGAGTGTCCCTTGTGGGTTTAAGACATGGCTTTACATATGGAATGGTATTTCATGTCAGCTGTAGAACTGGTATCATGCTATTCTGCTGCAGTTGCCAGTGGAAACTGTTGATACATTTAAGTACCTATAACCCCCTTCCAAGATTCAGAAACTGGAAGCAAAGTGACCAGTTTTGGGGGGGCGGCGTGCATGTGTGTTTTGTTTTTGCACCTATGTCTTCTACCAAGAAAATGATGGATTATAGCAGCTAACAGCTGTGGGAATTAAGACTAGACATGGAATAAAAAATAATGGCAAATCTCATCCGAAGTAATTTACCAAAGAGGTTCTGTGGACTTCAACAAATTTCTCATACACAGATCCCCTACATAAATTGTGTATCTGTTGCCCTACGTACACATCAAAACAAAAAATGGAAGCTCCCTACATTTCTGTGGAAATAAAAGATGATTTTCATTATTATTACAGTGACATTGACAAACAGATATTAGCAAGACACGCAAAGAATGGGTGATTGTCATCTAATTTTTGTTTTAAAATGTAGATAGAATAGATTTGTAATAAATGTACAATGCTGTGTGGTAGAGCTGTTGCAGAACAAATGAGAAAGAGAGTGGATCCAATTCACCTCTGTTTCACTAGTGAAAATCTGGAATGATGCCAATGGAGTAAGTTAGGGTTTACATCAGTGTAAAGGACAGGTGAATCTGAGCTATTAAAAATTGGGATGACCTCATAGCCTACAACACTGAGAATCAGCCTGCACACATCTTGGGCTGATCTACAAATATTCCCAAATTCAGACTTAATGGCCCAGATCCTGCAAAGATAGATGTGTGGGCAGTCCCCTGCATTTGTGTGAAGCCCTACTGATTTCAGAGGCACTCCATGGCAGACCCTTCACCTCCAGTGTTTTTTTTTTCTTCCCCTCCAGGATCAGGGCATAATGTCCCTTTCCTTAAAACCTTCAGGCAACCCTAAGGATGAAGTGTAGGCTAAGGGCCTGATTCCCCACTGCCTTGCAACTGATGTAGTTATTTACATCTGTGCGAAGAGGTTGTAAAATCCAGCCAAATAAGTAGCATAAACTTCCTTTTTGAATGTTGTTTTAGCTGTGGTTTTAAAGTCCATAGTGCTCAGGACAAGTGCTGTGCTGACAGCCCCAAAGTCCTCTGTTTACCTACAACCCAATGAAAGCATGTGCAATATCTTCCAGCTTTCCTACCTCAGAATGGCTGAATGGACTGTGGAGGTGATTTTTAGCCTGGAAGGATGGGGGAGTCAAGGGAGAATTGAAATACAGCCCACTCTACCAACCAAGACAAACTACTCCCCTCCCCACCTCTCCATTTCCCCCTCCCAGATCCTTTCCTCCAAAGTATGAAGTCACTAGAGTTTTTCCATGTTTGAAATACTTTTTAATTTGGACAGAACAGTGGTTTTTTTCCCCTCCCCACCATCTCATTCTCAGAAACAGCAGAACTGGTTTAGCTGAAATATTTAAAAAAAAAATCCACCAGAAGCAGCATGGAAAAATTCAGTTTGAACAAGTAACATTTGGCAAAATTATAAGCAACTTAAAACCAAGTCTTATAGAGGAAGGTTTTGGGCAGACTATTCGTGTTGCTACCTGTGCTTCAGTTTCCCCATCTGTCAAAATGGGGATAATTATTCTGTAAAGTGTAACCTTTGTAAAGTGCTTTGAGATCTACTGATGAAAAGCACTATAGTAAGATCCCACCCTGTACCAATCTGCTTAACATTTTCATATCAACTGCTTTAAGTTTTCCTGGTACGTGCAGAGAGAACAACATGTACCCCATCTCACTGATTCTCCAACCATAGAATTCTTAAAGCACACTGAGAAACTTTCTGAAGAGCCTGAGATAGAAGTGTAAATCACTAATGGACAGTGTGAAGCTCCCACTCCACAGCGTAGCAGTGCTATGGGACCTTGCTCTCAGAGCACTGACTGGGTAGGTGATGGACAGATAAGAGAAGTCAACCTCTACCCCTCAAATCCCTTGTAGGCTAAAGATCTAGCAGGAAACCCCATCCCTACTTCCTGCTGCCGCCTCTATCCTCTGATAAGAGGATGGGAATGCCATTCAAGAAGGTAATGCACAGGCTGCAGGAGAAAGGACGTGCTCATTCTGCAGGGACACAAGAGGTTGAGAGCCTGAGTTTGGAGTCAGGGAACAGGACAAGATAACAGCTTGATCATGTGGTCCCTATGAGCCTGCAGCAGACATAAGAATTGTCCATCACCCCAAGGGAGGAAGCAGAGATTCCTTTATATATCATGGGTTTACATCCAACCCTCATGGATAGATTGCTCTTCGTAATGATTGTCAGGTTTTGTACATGCTAATTAAGGTGTTGGGCTAGATCTGTGTTGGAGGGATTCCTGGGTAAATTCCTGCCTCCCCAAAGTTTGTGAGAGATTGGCTATGCTCTAAAAATAAAACAAAGTGATGATAGGGAAGCTGCTGCTGCACAATTGATGGGAGAAGCCAGGACTTAAACAATTAGAGCCTAGAGATGGGAGGGACAAAACTGAGAAATAGAAGTCTGAGAGGAAACTGATGGGTGACTGGAGAAAAAAACCAAGCGGAAAGTGAAAAAAAAAGATGGGAGAGGGAATACTATAGCAAAGAGGACCAAACTAAAGTTTTGAAGAAGGGAGAGGAAGTAAGAGACAAGATGTCAGAAGCATGGGATATTACCAAAAGTAAAATTAAAAAAAAAAATGAATAATGAAAGGAAGGAGTTGGTAAAGGATATTTTACTCATAGAAAAAGTTAGATTCTTGTAATGAAAGAAAACCCTAGCAATAAAATTCCAGTTTCTAAGATACTTAGTTCTTCTCTCTGAACCCTGCCCTGTACTTTACTCAGATGGTTCCAAAACTTCTAAGAACTGCAGCTCCCTTGCAGATATTTTAAGACTTGGGGGCTCTTAACAACCAAACAACATTTTTCTTTTTATTGTGTTTATGGACCCAGGACACTAGATTCAAGAGGGATACTAGATTTTGGATGGTTTGCAACTTTATTCAACTACATACAGTTTAATTATATAATCCAATCTAAGCCAAGTTTTTAAACTACACAGTTTGAAATTTTGGCTTTTTGGAGCCTATTCAGACACAACCTAAGATTTGAGAGAAGAATGGGCCTGGTTCAAATTGCAAGGTTGTGCAATGTTGGTTGAATCTCAGAGAGCACCAGATGTAAGTTGTTTTCCAAGTTTAAATGATTTCTGTTTAGTTTTCACAGAAATTACTGAAAACGCAGACTCACCGAGATAACAGGAAGTGAATGAAAGCAGCACTATCATAGCTTTGTTGCCTCAAAGAGGGGAAAGGTAACTCTTAGAATAAATCAGATGTGGTAGAGGGAAATAAAATGGATACCCTTTTTTCTCAGAAGTGCAGACATGACCCTCTCTGGTATCTAATCACCCAGTGGACAAATACCCCGATGTGGTGTATAAGGAAGAAGAGACAAGTAAGGTGAAAGCAAAAGGTGTATTAGGGATAAGAATACAATTGATAGGGAAGGGAGAAAACCACAAACACAAACCATATTACAACCAACAGTGACAGGGACTTCTAATGGGACATAAAGCCCAGACCCAGATAAATTCCTCCCTTGGCCAAATACCCTATAAACAGAGATTGGATTTCTTCCTACTTAATCTAGGTGCTGAATTGTGTGCGGTGGTGGTGCTCAGGACCTTAACTATCGGACTAGTGGAAAGTCGTCAAGGAGGAACTCTGAGGAGTCCAACGGATGGATGGTGATCTCTGTGGAAGAGAAGCCCTCCAGAGATGGAACAGCAGGATAAGGTAAGTGTTGAAGGTCTTCTCTGGTGTCTTTGAGATAGGTGTCACTCTCGTCGATATGGTCGGAACCATGATGAGACCAGTACTGCACTGCGCACAGGCGGCTGCTCAGATGGACAGCCCGGCATCCAGGCAGGAGTCAGTCTTTTATAGATGTTAAGGTGGGAAAAATTGGACCATTCCAAATAGCAATGCCAAGCAAGTCTGAGGTGATAGAACCTTCAAGGATTTGGGTGGGAAAAACAGATGGAATGTCCAGAGCCCAAAAGGTGGGGAAAAATCCAGTCCTAACCAGTTGGGGCTAGCTTTGATTCAGTGCCCCTCAGGTAAACAAGGATGGGGTTCTGAAGTCTGATGTCACAGACTCCATTTTGTATTTCTTTTTTCAGTTATCCCAACAGCTTCATCACTGAATTCTTTGTACTCTCCTTTAACAGAAATCCAGAATTCGTGGTTAGATTTGAAAACTTGATCTTCAGCATCTGATCACTTGACAATTCATCAAAGATTTTTCTTGATCAGAGATAATTAAGGTATGAATGGAACCAACTATTGCCACAATGGGGTTTTGAATGATCCAGTCAGGAGCTAGACATTCATGTTCAGCTCCAGAAAATTAGTCAAAAGTGTCTCTCTTCACACAGTGTACTAGCCCAATGTGTGTTCATTGCCTCGAGTTTTATAAAATTAATTTTAACAATGTTGAGGGCCTCATGTACTTCAGGTTGCAATTGCTTCGATGCCAAAGCTTGGTGATGAATTATGCAGTGTGTCCAAATTGCTGCTGGTACCACTTTGTTTACTCCCCTGTTCTTTCCTGTCATAGCTACTGCTCCATCAGTGCATAGCCCCACACACACAGCCCAATTAAGACTTTCATGCACTATACTTTTATCAGTGGTCTTGAATATTTCCTCACAGGTTGTTCAGATTGGGATCCGTTTTGCAAAATAAGTTTTTCCACTATTGTAACTGCTTTAACAAATTTCACATAACACAGAAGCCGAGCCATGTTGACTATGTCTGTGAACTCATCAAGCTGCACTGCAATATACTGACTCTTCTTAGCTTGTTCTATCAGCTGGTCCTGGATGTTTTCTGCCAGGTCATCAGAAGATTGAGGGATGATATTATTTGATGTAGGAATTCAGTGCCTTGGCTCCTTGTTCCCCCATTATAATTCTACAGATGTCTTTTGCTGCTGGAAGTAGAAGGCATGTGCTTGTTTGCCATTTACAATTTGCATGGCTACAACATATGATGTTTCTAAGGCTTTCTGAGGCTGCTCCTTTAGACATGACTTTCTTTGCTACTTTAATTCTTATTTCTGAAGGAAAAAATTGTGGTTCTTGAGTCTGGATTTCCTGATGTTTGGTTTCTAAATGCATCTGTAGTTTCCTTGGCTTCATATTTTCATTTACTAACACCTGAAAACAAATGACAAGTTATGGCTATGGACTTTCCACAGTAATAATGACACAAAAGTCCAAACAATTTAACTATCCTTGTAATGTCTACTTTTCTTCCTTTTCAGTTTTAAAAGCATTTTCTTCTTTAGCCAAATGTTTGCTACATATAGGCTTAGCACTTGGTAAAAATTGTCCCTTTATAAAGATAAGACACACCTGTGTCTCCCTCTGCCCCCTTCCCCTATCTGCTTGGGCTGCTGCTAGAGACTTCTGCTGAATACCCCCGCAGGGAATCTCTCTGTGGAAGGCCCTTACAGGAGCTGAGGGCACAGAAAGGTTTCCAGTGCTAGCAGCAGTAGCAGACCCATAGATAACAGGTGAGTTTTAAACCTGGTTTAGTAACCTCTTAATCAGAAAACACAAAAAACATCAGGCATGAACCTTTCCTGGTTCCCAGTTTGGGAAGCACTGTTTTATGCTACAAGAAAGCAATAGACACATCTCTTGGCTCTTTGACCTTTATATTTCAAATAAAAGTATGTTTCACCTGAATACTGCTTGGGGGTGTGGGGGGTGGGGAGACAGTAACAGAGGGAGAGGTTTCGGAGGAATTGTGTCAATCAGTTTCAATGGCAGCTGTGGCTGGTCAGTACCTTTGGAAAATCAGGCCACTTATTGAGAAAAATACATTTGGATTTAGGAGACTGATTTTAGGCACCTACTGATGAATTTGGAAAGTTTAGCCTTGACTTTAAGACTTCAAAAATTTCATTGAGCTGTTTGCCAGAGATGTCATTGCTGGTGAACAATCCTTGATAGGCTCACAGGATAAAATAAGGTCTGCTGGTTTTTTTCCTTTTAGCTTTTGTCCAGCTTGCATTACTGCTTCAAGCTGGGTTGTTGCGATTGATGTGAGCTGTCTCTTTGCCACACTAAAGCAGTCAGAGTTCAGGTCCATAGTTCTGTGCACAAGCAGCAAGTTAAATCCACACCAAATAAAGACAGTGGGTGAAGGGAAGGTTCCCCCACAGGAACATTTTGGTGACTTAGGTCTGGAAATAAAAATGAGATATGGGGGTGGGGAAGCAGCTGCAGCTGGGGAAAGGCAGAAGGAGATGAGTTTTATTTTATACATATGTGCTGTATTAATGATCATGACTCATTAAGGCAGAGAATCTGCAAATGGGAATGAAAGAGTAAAGGGAAATCATAGGTTTTATTATTATTTAGATTTCTATTGACTTTTCTTTTAAACTCTCACTAAACAGATTTCTTGATCACAAGCAATAATGGGATTGTTCAAGTCACTTTTGTATTTAACAGTGATTGTATATATAGAAGAGTTGTCTGTAATAAGAGAGGTTGGTAGGTTCAGCAGAGCAGTAATGGAACACAGGTTGAATCCAGACCAGCTTAGTAATGACTGAAAGTTACTACCACCATATAGCGGTTGTGCTGGTCTGTTTGCGTTTGGCAGTTGCAGTTCCCTATGGCCAGGTGTTCACATCACAAAATCCAAACCCACAATTCACACCCCTCTTGGCAGTCTTTGTAGAGAAACCACAGATAGAACGGACATGGGAGCGCAAATCCTGCACTACGAAGTGCCTGCTTTGCATTGCCCCACCTTCAGGCAGAGCAGCCTTAAATTCAGCATCGACCGCAACAGAAGCATCAGTGTAGGGGGATCCTCTGATAGCATGGCTCCTTTGTCACTCAGCATGGAGGAAAGGAGAATGTCCTACACTTATGTCTTGCCGATCACTGGGTACAGTATCGGTCCCTTGGGGCTATTAGGAGCCACTGCAACTTAAGGCAGCCTTCAGATTGCTCTAATTTATGCACCCCACCAGCACAGGATCTGCAGGCCACAAAGGTACTTTCAGGAACGTATTCTCCTCTGTACACTGTAATGCTTCTTGGTGGTAGCTGAGGATAATGGCTGGAGGATAAACAACTACTTACCACTAAAGGACAGGGTTGAGGCACTCTGGTGGGGTTCTGTAGTGAAGCAATATAGGCAGTACCGGCTGCCCATGTCTTTGCTTTATCTGTTCTGGGGCTAAGAAGAGCATCTTTCCTCACTCACTTTTCCACAATTTTATATTATAATAATTTAGGCTGGTTATTCTGGGTACATTTGGACAAAAGAGAACAATCGATATCAGAAGGAGGACTGCACAAGACCACTAATTTTCTCACTAAGCATTTGTCTATGGAAATAGGTATTTCCATATTTCATCAAGAGTGAAGGGGAAACACAGAATTTCCATGTAAATAATTGGAAAATTCTACCCTCTAGGTAAAAATCATCATTTTGCAGCTGAAAACAGTCTTGTGAAAAAATGTTAATGAAAAATGTTTTGCTTTTTGGCAAACAAATCTGAAGCCCCTTATTTAGGGTTTGATCCTGTCCCATTTAAGTTGATAGAAATATTGGGAGCAGGATTTCTCTGAATTCAAATATTTTCAATAAAATAATAAAAGGACTCTTATTCCTGGAACTTTGTCTAAATGCTCTAATAATGCATGGTGATGTGTTTATTCTTCATGTGGTGCCATTATGGCCAGGGAAAGTTCTATAGCCACTGTTCCTGCTAGGGGGAAATGTGTCTTAGTGTGGCAAGCCCAGTGTTTTCCTGAAGCCTTATTCCACTGAACAGCTTGTGTGTCTGTATTGACTTAGTAGTATAGTCTCCCATTGAGGATCCACAGTTCTTTGAAATACATGTTGCAATAAACCCTGCAGGAAAATCTTTGTCATAGATTTAATCCAGAGGGAAAGCCTCATATTAATCCAATGAGGTTTTAAAAGAGGTTTCATTATTAATAAATACTAAATAGATGGTGCCTTTCATCTGCAGACCTGAAAGCACTTTACACATGAAAATTTATTAAATCTCACTCAACCCTGGCAAAATTCTGTAAGTGGATATTCCATATAAATTGCTATACCATGCTCATCTGTAGCGCTTTGAGCAATGTAACATACGTATGACTGGTTCTCTTTCATCCTTGCTCCAGGGGTTGAATTGTGTTTTGTTGGGGTTTGTTTTGTTTTTTTAAAATTTACACACTTCTCCATGTTTATATTCGAGAAGGTCAGGTTGAAGAAGTGTGTGCTCGGAGTGGAAGGTGGTGAGATTTGTGATGGGCCTTAGTTCCTACTGGAATTTGTTCTAGAGTCTCAGACCGGCCTGTGAGAAAGCTGTGTTTCCTGCATAGACAAGATTGATAAACGGGGGCACAAAGACCTTAAGTGACCTATACCAGGTCATAAATCAAATTGATGTGGCAGAGTTTGAGCCCATCGTATCCAGGATTTCCGAGTTCTCAGCTCTAACCACTAGACACACAGCCCACATCACAAAAGTACGTATTAAATCATAGCATCAAATGGGAAAAGAGAGGAAGGCCAAGGAGAAAGGGTGTCTTCTGAATTGGTCTCATTTAACCCATATTTCACACTTCTATAGCACCTTCCTTCAGAGGATTGCAAAGCACTTTCCAGCACAAATAGTATTGACAGAAGTCTTATGACATTGCTGTGACATTCTGTAGATCTAGATTATCTTGTTTATTTTTTTTCTGGTAGGGAAACCAAAACTCATTATTAGGCTGTGACATCCTAGATTTTAATGAAAGTTGAGGGTACTGAATATCTTACACCACCACTTCACAAGACTACGATTTATGGTTACAGTAAGCAAAGCACTTAATTTTTCCCTTAGCTTGCACCTACCCCTCTGGCCACTTTGCATGAACCTCGCTGATGCAAATGGGCCATAGGGCAACAATGGATCAGGTGGAGAGTATGGGGAAAGAAACTCTGTGCCCGTCTCCGGACACAGGATACCATACAGATGACGACAAAATATGTCAGCTTGTAAAAAACCAAGATAATGTAATCTAGTGGTGAAAGCAGAAGACATTCCCAGCTCTGCTACTAGCTTGCTGTCTAACTTTGGGCAAGTGACTTAATGCCTCTTTGCTTCAGTTTCTCTCCATGTAAAATTATACTAATATTTACCTACCTCACAACCATCTTGTTTGCTTGGAATTGATGCTCACTGTGCAAATCTGAACAGCATTTTCCCTTGTCATTCATCTCTTTAATTGGTGAT